CCACCCTTACCTTACTTGGTCTGATTCCTTGGAGTAAAGTTCTGATCTAACTTCTCACACACTCTTCTGATTCTCAAAATATAACACTTGCTCATCCAACAGTTCCCACTGTCCCTCAAATTAAGTGAATGTTCTGTCCTAGGCATTCAAAATCTTGTTCAGGCCAATCTGTCCCTTTTTATTTTTCACTACCACTGCACAAATGTCCTGTGCTCTAAGACGGACTGCTTTCTCTGTGTGGGTCACGTCTTCTGAAACAGAAAACTTCCTAAACTTGTTCCTTTTTTTCATCACTCTTAAGATAATTAATCAATTCTATTTGTTACTGTTAGTGAGATGCCTTTCTCCTAAGCTATACTGTAGGGTCCTTGAGGATACAGATTGTATGAAATAAGCTTAGACTATGTCACAACACCTGGCACAATATTTTGCATAGACCGAGGAATGCTCAAATATTGAGGAATGAATCAATCAATAAATATGCAGACAGCAAACTAACACATTTTGACTGTTGTTGTATTTATATGTTTTTGTTAATAAAATAGTTTGTTGTCTCCTGTGTTAAGATTGTTAAATCCTGGGCTGGGGATGTGGGCTCAAGCGGTAGCGCGCTCGCCTGGCATGGGCACGGCCCAGGTTCGATCCTCAGCACCACATACAAACAAAGATGTTGTGCCCGCCGATAACTAAAAAATAAATATTAAAATCCTCTCTCTACCTCTCTCTCTTTAAAAAAAAAAAAAAGATTGTTAAATCCTTGGGAATGTGACTCATGTTTCTCCTTTAATAAAAATAATTATTTTCTTTAAGATAGTCTGGGAAACCTGCTATAGACAAAGGAATTTCACCAGGTGTCATACTCCTGGAGGGTTTTTTGTTTGTTTTTGTTTTAGGAAAAAAGTATAAAGAATAAAAAAGTTGTTTTTTCCCCCCTATGATTTATCAGTACTTGATCCATAATGAAATCTTGATGATTAGGGTGATCATTAGGTTAAAGCTATTTCTTTATCCAATTAAATCTTTGCAGAAAAACATAGGTGATACATAATTTCTTAAAAATAGTCACAATTAGTTATCCCAGTGGCATATGTATCAGGTAACTTTTTTTTTATTTGGCAGATTTCTGATGGGAAAAAAAAGCATCAAATGACCAGCCATTTCCCTGAACGCCTCTCTTATTTTAATAGTTATTACTCTCATTCCATACTCATCTCCCCTGAGATAATGTGTTGGATTCTTTTCCTGACTAAGTCTTTCAAAAATTAAAGATAAATACAAGTCTCAGAATACCAACAACATTTCTCTTTGAGACATTTTGTATCCGTTAAACTAAAACAGGGTGACATTGGAGCCCAGTCTTCCTTGGATCAGGTGAAGCTTTCCCTGGGTAAATCTGTTACACAAGACCATTCCCTCACCCCTGAGCCAAAAGAAACAAGAGTAAAAGCACAATAATATGGTAATATCATTCCAAGATCCCAAATGTATCTGTAAAACCTCAGCTGGAAGTTGATTTAACCTCTCTGGTATTGTCATGTGACCCTGGGGTGGCACCTTCCTTCCCTAAGTGAGGAGAGCGATTACCATTACCCGTGGAAGCCAGGGCTCCCCAGTGACTCGGAAGAGTCTTGAGAAGGGATAAAGTTTCATAGCTTATTGCAATTCTTCCAGCACTGAAATCTCCTGGAGCTGAAACTCATTCAGAAATGATGAGGCATTTGAAGCTGCCTGAAATAAGGGCTCTCTACTAAAGTGACTAGCTAGTCCATAGCCCACCTGAGAAAATGAAAAATCAAGTTCAGAGGAACAACAACAACAAAAAGCCATGCTTACAATGGAGCAAAGACAGTGGCTATTAAGCTGATTTGACTCAGGCTCTTTGAACTCTTTAGATTTCTAACAGCCCATCTGCACTAGAGGTGCTGCCCTAATCATTTTAATTTCTCCCATTTGATTCCTTTGATAACTCCTGTACCCTGGATAACTAGACAAATGAGTAAACAAATCACCCCCACCCCTTCCAATATCAGGATAAATGTGTTACTGGAGATTTATCAAGCCTTGAGAAATCCTCCTCTCCCTAGTGCAGTCTCTCCATGGAATCTCTCTGGGCAGTTTCCCACATTGTGGAGTGAAGGGAGAGAAGTCAGCTTGCAGCGACGACGTGACAGAGGCTAACCCAGAATTTGGCTGTCATCCCACAAAGAAGCAAAGCAAAACTGACAGGCTTCCTTTGCATTCACAAAATACTTGTTGCCATGTCTGGGTGGGTTTTCAGGTGCAATGGTGATCATTGGCTCACGAGCCTCCTTCCCCCCACCCCCCGCCCCGGCCTCCTGGGTTACATACTGTGCGTGTTTTAAAGTGGGCATCCTTCTATCAGGCTGGTGATAATGGCATCTTACGGAGCACACTTAAGAGTTCAGTACAAACTGCACAGACTGGGGGAGGCTCCCAGCAGAGGCCATGTGTGCAGGAGGATACACAGAGCCAGGGAGAGTTGCAGCCACAACAAAAAAGAAAATGGGCACGTTCACAGAAGAGGAAAATGAACAATTTACACAAAAATGGTAAGTGAAAAAAGCTAACCATCTCAAAGACCATTTAAAAAGCGATTTCAGACAGCTGACGTGGAGCAAGATGGCACAACTGCTGAAGGAACTGCTTATTCTCCAAGAATGCATCTGATTGCGTATGTGGACTTAGTCTGGCTCCAAAGAGAGGTGCTTTTATATTAATTTGCTTACTGGAGGTGAAAAAAGAAAAGGAAAGCAGAAACAGAAAACTGGATGTCTAGGGCAACTTGTAAGCCCCTATACGAAGCTGCTGTCCCACTGTGGTAGTCCTGCTGCCTTCAAGGGGTGACCCTCAGTGGGCACTGCCATTGTGGACACAAACAGCAAGCTGCCCCCCAGATAGAGAAAAAAAAAATTAAAGAAAAAGCAATCTGGTGATTTTTTTTTAAGAACATAAATGCAAAGGACAAAATTAATGGGATAGAGAAGCACATTCAACTTTTTCAGAACTGTGAAATGAGGAGCAGGGGGAGAGAGAGCAGGAAAGAGAAAGGGAGGAAGAGCTATAGAGAAAGAGGAGAGCCTACTAAAGAAACGAGCCCCCCTGTACAGACAGCCTGACGCCAGATGGCTTCTTCTAATAAATATTCAACCTTAACTCTGTTCCCATGTAACTTTGTTGTAAAGCTGCCAGCACACCCACACAGATCTGGGCCGGCAAAATGATTACAGTAGTACAAACAAAATAGTGCAATAGAGGAAACAGACAGACAGGGTCCTGTCCACAGACAGGCAGGGCTGTAAGATGCAAGTCGATGGGCCTTGAGATTTAATGCCTCGGAACTCATAATCATAAGTCGCATCGGAGGGGAGGGCACCTCAAAAGACAACAAGCGTTTAACTCTTCGCTTTGCTTCAGGTTGCAGCAGTGAAAACATGTACACGTTTTTCTTTGCAGATTACAAAAGAGATACTATATCTCAAATATTATTTTCTAACATAACCTCTATGTTTCACTATAGGTAATAATAACCACACTAAAGCCCCCCCCACACACACACACTTTTTTTTTTAAGTTGTAGAAATATAGGAGATTGTATTTTAATAATACTTCAGTAATTGGATAAAAATAGATGATTCGCCATATTTTTTTTCTTTATAGAACAGAGAAGTAGTTGTCCACAATGATCTTTGTTTCTTTTTCTCTTCACCACCTCCCAACAATTATTTTGTACTTAAATTCTATTTAAACATATATACCTCTTGATTCTATAGGGGAAGTACGAATTTCAGGTTTGTTTTTTTTTTTGTAAGAGATAAATTGAAACTACTGATGAGACCAGAAAGTACCATATTAATGAAGAAATATACGGAGTTTTTAAACCAAATTATGGCAAAACTCAGCTTGACAAAAATTATAAAGTAAAATATTATTTCACAAATGTATTCGTTGGAGTATATTAAAATGTGATGTTAATAACAAGTATTAGAGAAGGAAATCGAACTTTTGCAATTTTAATTTTCCAGCGATAATGGAATAGACTAAGCCAACTTAGTAAGAAAATACAGCAATTTGAAAAAAATCATCTAAAATGCTTGGTGTAAAAGCGAGATTCTAACTTTATTTTCTATTTCTTGATCTGATATCTAAAATTGTCTAGGAAAAAAAATCCCTAAAAGAGTTCATCATAAGCCAAGGTTTCTTTTACCTCAAAATCAAAGATATATTTCATGGGGTTATCTGTGAGCACTGATAACTCTGAGGGAATGGAGATGTAAGAAAAACCAACAAAACAAAAATTAAACACTTACCAAGAGCCAGATAAGTTTTGTTAAGTGCATACTGTTGTTTTGACAGTTTGAGAATCTGCACAGATTTTACATTTTATTACACTGACATCAAAAGCTGTATTGATAGGAAAGGACCACATTTCTAACAAAGAGAGACAGATAAAAATTAGCATTTATCTTCTGGTGATATCAAGCTTTCTAATGGTAAGTCATAGTATTTTCCTTTGCTTGCAGAGGAACTCTCTCAGGGGACTGAAAATGCATGGGAAGGTTAAGACTTCCCAATTAGGGATATGATGGAGAGCAATCCTTGAAAAGATTTGTATAAATTGCACACACGAAATACAAACAATGCAAACATATCTGTATACAAAATATGCAGTTGTGCATTCATAAAGGGTAATGGCATGCAATAATGGGAAATTATTTGAACATCTGTTTGCACATTAATCTGCATATTTTTGCACATGCAATCATCCATTTGCATCAGCATATTTTGCATGTCGCATGCACACGTTAGACACCTGTTATTAAAAACCAGGTCCATAATGTGCTGCTGATTCATTTGAATATAATTCCATTTTCATGAGATTTATCATAGAGACCAAAGGGTAGTACTTGTTTAGGAAAGTAGACAATTTACACAGGATGATACAAGTGAAATAACTGTGTGCTTCTCCCTCATCTATCTAGGTTTACAGATCAGAGAGAGAACCAAATTGGTAATGAGTGAAAACAGAACAACGTGGCCCAGATGATGGCTGCTATACTCCAGCTACTTGCTTCTGATGGAAGAGGTTGTCAAAACTCTGGGGAGCATGCTCATCATGTGTGCTAAGTACTAAGTGTACCTAGCACATAGTACAAGGTCAGTAAGTATTTGATGACTCCTTGGTTAAGAAGGGAATGTATAATTTAATTAAATGTTGCATTTAGCTAATAGTTGCTGAAATTAGATAATCTATCAGGCCCTATTATGACTGCTTTTGCAGACCTATCTCAGTTAACCCATTTGGAAATCACTTTGGGGGAACATTTAGAGGCTGAACTAAAAAAGACTGGGTTCTGCTACTAACAAGGAATATGATCTTAGAGTGGTTTTTCTAATTTTGTAAAGTGGGAGACTGCACCGAGTCGGCAAGTACATTCTACATATGGTGCCACTCTCCCCTTCTTTAACCGTGGTAGACATGAAAAAAAATTTATCCAGGCACTTTCCCCACTGAGTCTGGACTTTGCCATAAATTCCTTCTTAACACAGCTCTCCAGGCAACCACCACCAACTGATCAAATTTGGCACACAAGATGAATCTATTTTCTATCTCTGGACTATATTATCTCTGAGGCCTCATCCAAAAATCCTATCAAGAACTCTTACAGTCCACTAAAATCCCATGTTTCTAAAAAAAAAAAAAAAAAAAAAAAAAAAAACTACCCTAAAGGTCTGCCTGTTTTTTAGTTACAATGTATCCTACATGCTCTGAAACTAGATGACCACTGTTAGAATTTGAGAAATGCTTGCTCTCTGTAGCAATTCACTGTAATAGCATTTTAAATGTATTTAACCCATGAAATATGCCCAAGCAAAATGATGTTCAATATATTTCCCTCTTTCAGATTATCCAAAAAGCACTTTCTTCCAGGCAGTTTTGCAAAGTGGATCAGGAAAGCAGCATGAAGCAGTACTATGCACAGCACAGACCTTCAGTATGGAAGAAAGACAGCAGCCGCGGTCCCAGCTTCTGCCAGACAGAGCGTTGGTGGTGTGAGAGAAAGCACAGAAACCTGGAGGCACGTTAAAAGGACATATTCAGACTCTTCAAGTCATATGGAAAGATAGGAAACAAATGCCACTCTCAGTGAGGATAGGTTTAAAAAAACTCCCTGAGAAATCCTTCAGTGTGATAAGCATGACCAACAGCTGAAATAAATCCATCAGAAGTACGTACTTAGACTTTGCTTTGAATCCAGCCCTATGTTATGTTCTTAGAGAAGTTCAGTAAGATACTGGAAGACAGTGCCTGCTTTGGGAGAAACTACTTTCATGTTGGAAGAAACAGAACTTGCAGATAACATTACAAAACTACTCATAAGCCAAGGATGCTCTTTTCCCATCCAGTTTTATCTAGACCCACCTAGCAACATTTCCATCAAAGACCTCATTTTGAATAAGGTGATCTCAACAAAGAATTCCCTGAGTACTCTTTATGTGAAGCAAAATGCTCCCTCTTATCATTTTATAACTCGAATTCCTCTTCCTATTTATTATGACCCGTGTTTTCAATTCATCATGGTGATGGGGACATGTTCTTCTTGCTTGCACGTGTTGCATTGCCCCTGCTTCTGCAACCAGCAGGCTATGTTACCCTCAGGAACTCTGTTCTCCCATTCTTAGTGCTAATGTTTTGGGCGAGACTGACTGATGCACAGACTCCAGCTCTAAGAGTAGGTACATGATCCAAGACCAGCAGCCCTCGAATTTGCAGAAAATGTTGAGGAAGAGAAAGTCAATGTATGGCTACACTAGCTGATGACCAGACAGAAGATGACTAACAATAAAGCCAAACAAAGAAAACAAGAGCTGAGCAATGGACGCTGACCGATTGCTACAGGCATAATGCGAACACCAGAAGACAGCAATGTCTGATGCTAAGTACATTCCTGGACTTTCCATTTATCCAAACTTGATTTATTTTCCTTCCCATCCACCACCCAGCTCTAACCTAACACAAGGAAGCAAACCTATCTGGTGAATTCTCCACACAGTCTTACTTTTGTGGGACTACTAACCAGATCCCATTTTCTTCACATTACACAGAACCCTCCTAAGATAAACTTCTGGGAATATCTAGAAAGAAGATAACTACCATAATTGTCCTTGACTGTAGTCTTCTCTTGAGTGGGGATTCCTTGGAGTTACTAGTAGATAATTTTTATGAAACAGGGTATCTAATTATTGAGAAGAATTATCAGAATTCCAAGTCGCTGTCTATTTGTGGAATTAACAGTGTTGATTCTCATTTATAGCCTCTCTCCTCCTGCTTAATTCCCTGAATAGTTCAGCCAGTCTCACTGAGACCCTCAGGGGGAAATGCCCAAGTAATATAAATCCCACCTCAGAGCTGAATTCAGGGTATCCCATAAGAACAACAACCAGGGATCGCTTTGAAGGTCATCTCAGAGTACTGGCAGGTAACAGGATGTTTGCCTGTCTGCAGAAAGCCATTAATATAATAGAATGATCTCGCTGGTAAAAATAAGTAATAAAGAAACAAACAAGATGAAGAGGGGTGAAGTTCTCATGTATAATATCAAAGCAAATCTGTAATAGCTACCTAACTAAACCTCCAAGCCCTTAGCTCATTGCCTGACCTAAAAAGTCACCCTGCTGTTTTAATGAAAGTTAGCTGTGGGAACATCTCCATCACAGCATCCCAACCACCAATATCACTTTTAAACTAAGCATTTGTTCTTTTTAATCTACTTCCTGTTTAGAAATTGCTTCTATTTTGAGCAGCACGTTTACTTTTTCACCTTTTGCTAAGAGAAATTGCATTTTATTAGCTGGAATCCAAATACAACTAAATGAGGAAAACTCAATAAAGGGACTGAAAAAAAATTTCACCCAATAAATTTGCTGAGAAATGCCAAGTTTGCGGCTGTGCCTACAGCCATTTTAGTTATAAGACACATAGTAGGAAACAGTTTGGGGGTTTTCAACCATTAGTTTATAAATTGGATAAGATAGATGTGTTCATTCATATGAAGTAATGTAATTTTTCTTGGGAAAGTTTAATATTATACAAATCCATTAGCATATTTACAAATTAATCTTCCCTTAGGAAAAAAAGATTGAAGATTTACAGAAGGAAGAGCTTTATTACTTTTAAAACTGCATTTTTAAAGAAAATAAAAGAAAAAGAAGGAAAATTATATTGAACTATAAATGCCTTTTTATGACTAACAGTTTTGCAACACCAAAATTTATGAAAGCAAAGAATAGAGCAGAGCATAGAGTTTTCAAGGAGCTCAGAAAAATTGCAACTCCTATATCACAAAATGTAAACTCCTATAAAACTAAACCTGTTTATGTGAATGCAAGCTAAATGGCATTAAATTAATTAGACACTCATGGCTATTAATGTGAACTTCCCCTGGAAATGTCTTCTTGTTTTTTTTCTTCCAAATTCTCAAGCTACTTGTTCTAATTTTTGACAAGAAGGGATTTTTAGACCTTCACACCAATGACAACAAAAATGTATTCATTTGATTTCTTTCTCAAACTCCCAATGACATCTTAATGTTGAACAAATAACTGGTGACATAATTAATTCCTGACACTCCGCTGTTATAAAATGGAATTTTCTGTCATCACAGAGAAAACTTGGAATGCTGGGTAAAGGCAGTCTCAATTTATGAACAAATGCCCAACATATTCTAAAAATTAAGCGATTTGACTTTCTTCAAATAGTCTCCTTTTTGCTCATTCCTAGCACTTACTTGGTGAATGTCTTTTTTTGTTGTTGTTTATTAAAGGAAGGGTTAAATGGACTTTCTACATAAACACAGGATGCAGCATAATATTAAGAGCAATTCTTAAATAACATGCAGATTTAGTGATGTATTAATAACTGCTTTTTCAACATTTCAAACTACTAAAAAAAATCAAAGTACTATTTTTTCCATGGAAGATATCTGTTGCAATGTATTCAGCATATTATCATATACAATTTTTCAGGTTAAAAGACATCAAGCTGGGTATGGTGGCACATGCCTGTAATCGTAGCAGCTCAGGAGGCGGAGGCAGGAAGATTGGGAGTTCAAAGCCAGCCTCAGCAAAAGGGAGGTCCTAAGCACCTCAGTGAGACCCCATCTCTAAATAAAATACAAAATAGGGCTGGGGATGTGGCTCAGTGGTCAAATGGCCCTGAGTTCAATCCCTGGTACTCCTGTGCCAATATATATATATTGATAATATTAATAACTTTGTATTTTTCATTTATTGATCACCTTCTGTATTCTAGTAAATACTTTAATGCATTATCTTATTTAACCATCAAGCAACCCTATCAAGTAAATATTGTGTTCATTTGTATTTTAGATGAGAAAACAAAGTTTCAAGATAATAAATATCAAAAACATACAATAATAAGTGAGGGAATCCAGAATAAAATTCCAACCTCTCTGATTCCCAAGTCTACACATTTAACCCTAAAGTTCCAGTTATTCTTTTCTAACATTTTCACTTGCTCCACAATGCAGCATTCACAGGTACAGCCTAATCACTGAGGAGGGGTCCTGGAAGGGTTTATCTTGTCCCTGGACTCCTTGTTCTTTTTCTCTCTGCTTCCTACCTGCCATCAGGTGAGCAGCTTTCCTCCACCACACCCTTTTGCCATGATATCCTGCTTTGCTTCAGGCCCAGAGCAATAGAATCAATCCATTATGGACTGAGACCTCTGACACTGTGAGCCAAAATAAATCTTTCCTCCTCTAAGTTCTTTTTCTCAGGTATTTTGTCCCAGGGATAGAAAACTGACTAACATAACTATAAGTGTGCTACCATAACTCCCATAAAGCATCTCATTTTCAGGCTACACAACCTCATGTGCAGTAGCTGTCCCACAAAGGGTAATTATCAAGTTTTCTCACTATCACTATCTTTTCTTGTGCCCTTAGGTCCACTGAACATCCAAGCATCTCTTTAAAAAGGATGGCTCAGCTAGGCACAGGCCTTCATGAGGACTTGATCACTAGGAACAATAAGCCTCCTGATTCTGAGCTCCGATCCTTTTTACCTTGGAGTTCTGACATAATGTATAAAGATGCCAATTTATTTCTAAGTTTTGCTAGAAGATGTATTATTAGCCAGATAGTATAGAGACAGTACCCCTGAAAACACGGGCACTATTTTCCATTTTGGATGATTTACTGGACCCATTGATACAGTAATAACTTTGGATTTGGATGAAACTTCTGGGGTAAGAGCCAAGTCTGCAGAACCTTCCCCTAAAATCCTTCTATGATGAGCTTGATATCAACCAGACAAGTTTAATCACATTGATAGAAACCCTTCCTAGTCCTGTGTATGTGAAAAAGAACTGAACTCACCAAGAGTGTCATTTGAAATACTTGAAGATCAGTCTGGAAAAAATATCCAGAGCACCTTTTTACCTAGATTGAAATATCAAGCTCCTGTGACAGTTGTTTTAGTCGGGGTTGAGTCACTGTGACCAAAATACCCAACAAGAACAACTTAGAGAAAGAGAAGTTTATCTTGGCTCATGGTTCAGAGGTTTCATCCATGGTAGGCAGATTCCACTGCTCTGGGCCCAAGATGAGGCAGGACATCCTGGCGGAAGGGCGTAATGGAGAAGCCCTGCTCCATTTATGACAGATAGGAAGCAAAGAGGGGGAGACAGAAGGGGCTGCAAGGAAGATGAACCCTCCCAGGGCACTGCCCTCCCAGGGATCCACCTCCTGCAGTTACGGCCCACCACTTATAGTTGCCACCCAAACTAGGATGGACTGATTAGCTTACAGCACTCATAATCCAATCATTTTGCCTCCAGACCTTGCTGCACGAACTCAGGAGCTTTTGGGGGACACGTCCTATCCAAGTGATGATGGCAGTCAAAATCTCATGGAAGACAAGTATTGAGCAAACAGTATAACATACGTGCATATAGCATTTCTGCCTTTAATATATTGCTTCATATTCACAGGTAAGAGAGAAAAGAACTGGACGTGCTCAAGAAGTTTTTTTTATTTTAAGTTTCACCAAGTAAATGGCAATAGAACTGAAGAAAACAAGGTTGGCCTTTCAGATTCGCATACTCTTCAAACTTCCTCTCCTGAAATGTGCTGCAGTCCATCACACTTAACCTACTCTTTCCACACCTCCAGAAGGAGATACCCACAGATGCACCTATTGACTTTGGCATGAACTCAAAGAAACAAGCTTGCAAAGCTGGCCCTTTCTTTGTGCATTAACTTCAATTTCTCCTTTCCACACACACACTGAAAGAACATCAGGTAAATCCATTTACTTCCGCCCCCTCATCCCACTGCTGCTCCTAAAGTGACATATTAATTATGGCTCATTTGAAATTTTCTCTTACAAATGTAGGCTCAGACTTCAACACCTAAATGAATTATATATACGCCATGCAAGCCTGTTTGTTTCAGGTTTCTTAAAGGAAGAAAATGAATGCAGTATATTAATCATCAAACCGATGTCCCTGATGGAAAAATAAATTATTTAAATGAGTAACACTCTCAGTTTTTTTTTCCAATATGCTACTTTCTCAAATTCTTTTTTCAACATTTGAAAGGTTTTCAAGCAAGTTAAAGTTTGAAAAAATAATATGACAATTTACTACCAAGATGGTACAAGTTGACCAGATTAAAGCTGTGTACAGACTACACAGAGTTCATCCAAATTGTTGGGTCTCATCGTCAATTGGTTCTGCAGTTATCAAATGTATGGGATGGTAGTCTAAAATGGCTGTTAAGATGATCTAAAAGTGCAGATTGTCTGCTACGGACCTAAATATATTTTATCCCCTTTACAGACAAAAATACATTAAAATCCCAGCATAAGATTAGTTTTTAATCTTAACTTCCTAGTGTACAGACTGAGGAAGACAAGTGGAATAGCCGTAACATGTGTTTATCCAGTCTTTATTCAGCCTATTTAAACTTCCTAGAGAGCAAATTCTTCAAGTTCCCCATTTTATTTAAAGCCATATTACAGTTGTATCACACATACAACTAAAAATTACAGGGATGAAACTACCAGTAAGATCAAATACAAGGAGAAGGATATAAAACTCAACAGGGGGAAACCAGGAAACCACCTTGACTAGAAAGTAAGCTGTCAGAGAAGTCGTTGAAACCACCACCTAGGATGTACAGGATCCGTGTATGGGAAAGAAACGAATACCCAGGAATACCCAGGGAGAACAATTTACTAAACTCAGCAGGTACAGGGAAGAAATTCAGTGATGAGAGCTATATTTGTTAGGGGAGACTAATTACTTTTTAAGAAGAGGCAGATTGAAAATATATAATAGTGAAAATTCAAGAGAATTTTTAGTATTTAAATACTGGTCGGAGAGGATGGATTTTTTTTTTTTTTTTTTTTTTTTTTTTTTTGGTACCAGCAATTGAGCTCAGGGGCACTCAACGAGCCACATCCCCATCCCTATTTTTTTTTTAAATATTTAATTGATTTTATTTTGGATGAATATGTTCATGGAACCTTCTTCTATGCTCTCACTGGAGAGCCTGGGCTTGTGGGTGCTCTACCACACTGAACAAGACTTTCAAGGTCACCCTGGAAGTCATCTGCCTCCTAGTCAGCAGATCAGAGACAAAAGAGTGGATATGTGTGTGTGGCAATGTTTAATGGGACAGGATATGAAGCCAACCACTTCTATTCAAATTCATTTGGGTAAAATTTGTCACATGGTCACAGTAAATGTTAAACTGTGAAAGGTAGTTGTGTGATTGTGAAGAGAAGAATAAACATTGTTTTTAATAGGTAGCAGTCCCTGCCACTATATGTCCCTGTGCGAATTATAGTCATATTCACTCTTTTTCCTGCACATAGAACTCATTCAATAATATCCTGCAAAGACACACAGCAGTCTATGGGCTGCTGACTTACTAGGTTTTTCTCTGCAACTTTAGGTGGTTTCTGGTCCCATGACCTATGAACTAAGAGATTTTCCCCTCTCCCATGTATACCTCTACATCAAGAATTGTGCCCAAACAAGGAAACTTTGATAGATTCTATGTAAAGGGGGAAATGGGAGATACACAGTAATGGCAGATCCATTTCAATGATGAACCCCCTGCTAGGCAGTATATGAAGCCCCAATTCATGAGAACTGGGCAAGGTCCACCTCCTTGCTTCAACTCTCCAAGGAGAATCTGCAGTGTGCCTTGTTCTCCTTGACCCCTTTGCTTTACCTCCCGGGATACTTTTCCTCATTCACCATCCTGCGTGGCTCTATCTGAAGTAAGCATGGAAAAATGTGCTCATGTTTAGAGGTCACAACCATCATTGTCCATTTTCTGCTAGTTTTGGGAATCAAGGGTTGTTTTATGAAAATCAAGAGTTTTTTTTAGGACCATAATCATTGCTCTATTGGCAACATGTTTCCCTCAAAATCTTTGGGAGAATCTGAGGTATCTGTTTCCACTCAGTGCCTAAGTAATCATCCTCTAAATTCTTTTTTTCAGATTAAAGACTTGGGCCTCTTACGTTCATTTAATTTTTTTTTCTTTTGTTTACTATCTTGTTTTGCTTTTTAGTGTCCATGCCTTGCTCTCAATCAGGAAGTAGTTAGTGGGGGTCATCTAAAACACTAGGATTGGGTGAAAAGATCATCCACTTTTTTCTATTGAGATAAAACTAGCATAACATACAGTTTGCCATTTTAAAGTATATATTTCAATGGCTTTTAGTACATTTGCAGAGTTTAGCAAGCATCACCAGAGACAATTTTAGTACATTTTCCTCACAGCAGAGAAATACCATGTTCTTTCACTACCATATCCCTACTCTTCCACTCCACCTCTGGTCAATCTATTACTTTCAGTCTCTATAGATTTGCCTATTCCAGACATTTTATAAAAATGTGGTCATACATTATATGGTCTCTCACGACACATTTCTTTTACTGATAAAAATGTCTTCAAGTCTTATTTGTGTTTAAACATATCACCCTTTCATTTATTCCTTTTTCTGGCAGAATAATATTCCACTGCATGAAAATACCACATTTTGCTTATTCACTCATCAATTGATAGATATTTGAGGGTTTTTTTCTACTTTGGGAACATTATGAATGCTACTATAAATATTTAAACACAATTTTTTTGTGTATATGTTCTCATTTCTCTTGGATTTATACATAGAAGTGGAATTACTGGTAACACTGTATTTAACCATCTGAGGAATCAGCAGAATGTTTCCTGTAGTGTCTACACTAATTTACATCCTAAAAAGTATATGAGAATTCCAATCTCGTCACATCCTCACCAGATATTATCTGATTTTTTTATATCCATCCTAGTGTTGAGCACTTCTCATGTGCTTTTTGTTCATTTGAACATCATCTTTAGAGAAATGTCTATTCCACTTATTTGGCAATTTCTCAATAAGACTTCTTTATTTTTTAGTTGTAAGTGTTCTTACATATATTCTAGCTATAATTCCCTTATCAGAAATATCACCTATAAAGTTTTCATCCATTCTGTGGTTTGTCTTTTCACTTTCTTGAAAGGTAATTTTGATAAGAGTTCAACTAATCCATTATTTTGTGTTTGCTTGTGCTTTTGATGTCATATTTGAAAATTCATTGCCAAATGCAACATCCTAATAATTTAGCCCTATGTTTTCTTCTAAGAGTTTTATGGTTTAAGCACTTTTGTTCAGATCATTTATGAATTTTGAGTCAATTTTTGGAAAACATGTGACGTCAATGGCCAATTTCATTTTTTTTTTGTATGTAGTGATCCAACTTCCATTGTTTGAAAAAAAAAAAAAACTCCTTTCTCTACTGAATTGTCTTGACAGCCCTATCAAAATCAGTCAACCATTGAAATGTGCTTATTATTTGGATACTCAATTTTATTTGTATATCTATGTCTATCCTGATGCCAGTATCACAACATCTTCATTACTCTTCCTTTGTGGTATGTAATGTTTTATAGATTTAAGAGTATGCTTTTTTATATCCTTTATTAGATTTTTTTCCTAAATATTTTAAGTTTTGCTATTATGTTTTTGTTGTTTATTTAATTTTCATGCCATACCATTTATGGCAAGTACATAGATATACAGCTATGTTTTTTTGAAGGGGGCAATGCCAGGCATTGAACTCGGGGACACTTGACCACTAAGCCACATCCCCAGCCCTATTTTGTGTTTTATTTAGAGACAAGGGCTTACTGAATTGCTTGGCACCTCATCATTGCTGTGACTGGCTTTGAACTTTTGATCCTCCTGCCTCAGCCTCCCAAGCCACTGACATTACTGGCATTTGCCACCACACCCAGCCTATATACAGATCATTTTTCAATATTGAATTTATGTCCTCCAAGTTTGTCAAACACATTTCTTAGCTCTAATAGTGTTCTGGTGGATTACTGGAAATGTCCTACATATAAAGTAATGTAATCTGTGAATAGTTTTGCTTCCTCATTCCAGTTACAATGCTTCTATTTCTCGACTCACTGCCCTGGTCACAATCTGTCATGCAGCAGCAGTAAGAGCAGGTGTTCTTGTCTTACTCTTGGAGGGAAAGCTCCTATCTTATCACTGAGAACCATGTCACCAGTGAGCCTTCATGGATACCCTTTTTAGGTTAAAAACATCCCATTCTGTAACTAGTAGATTGGATGTTTTTATAATGAAAAGGCATTGGATTTGTCAGTTTTTTTTTTTTTTTTCTGAATCTATTAAGACAAATGTGTGCGGTTTTCTTGTAATACACCTTATCAATAGAATAAAACACATTAGTGGATTTTCAGGTATTAAACCAATTTACAACCCTGGGGTAAGCCTCACTTGGTCATGGTATAATCATTTCACATATGACTTGATTTGGTTTTAGTATTTTGTGGATGATCTTTTGCATCCATGTTCATAAAAATTGGTCAATAGCTTGTTTCCTTTTCTTGCGATGTCTTTGTCTAGTTTTGGTACCAAAGGAATACTGGCTTCACAGAATACCTGGGAAGTGTTCCCTTTTCTTCTAATTTTTGGAAGAGTTTGTGAAGATCTTAATTCTTTTGCAAATATTTGACAGAATTCACCAGTGAATTAATCTGTTCCTGGCCTTTTATTTGTGGATAGTGTTTTGGTTTTTTGTTTTGTTTTTAATGACAAATTCAATCCCTTTACTTGTTATAGATATTTTCAGATTGTATCTTGCTTCTTGAGTCAGTTTGGTAGCTTGTGTTATTCTGGAAATTTGTTAATTCTATCAAAGTTACATAATACACTGACATACAACTGAGCATAGCATTTCTTTATAATGCTTTTTATTTCTCTAGAGTTAGTAGTAATGTCCTTCTTTTGATATTTGATTCCTGTAACTTGGCGTTTCTCTCTGTCAAAGTTTTCTCAATTTGGTAATTTTTTTTCCAAGAACCTGGCTTTGGTTTCATTGATTTTTCTTTATTGATTTTTCTGTTCTCTATTTCATTAATTTCCACTTGATTCTTTATTCTATTCTTCATTCTATTGGCTCTCCGGTA